ATACGGTGTTTCATAGTATTATGATCCACAAACTATTTTTTCTTTTTCAATTTTGCTCTTGTTGACTACCTATCGATATCTGTGGGCTACATCACCTACTAATGTTAATTTGCTGATGGACTGAACGCCATTTACTTCTATCATTTTTTTTGCCATACTAACTAGAAGATATACCATACTTATTGACGCCAAAATACATAGTTAGTTCTGTCCAATTGCATGATGAACATTTAAAAGTATCAAGGAATAATTCTTAGAAATATTCACATAACCTGTCTGTTTAAATTTTAAATTTAAGAGTTTCAAATTCTGATATGTCTTGTAACCTTATGTTGGTTTTGGGCTAACAGTATAATATTATTTTTTATTTTTTTAATTTTAAATAACAACAAGTTAATATTGTAGCTTCTGGTTGCAGGTGCTGATAGCTCAACTCTCATATTTTTTTTGCAATATCATATAGGTTCTCTGACGATGGATTTCATGGCTGGTTGATCAAGTAGTTATTCGATTTTGTGGGGTCTCTTAACTTATATAGTGATTTATTATAGGTCGGTTATATCAAGTTCAAGTAGTATTTTGGACATTTGTTGTTTGTGATATGTTAGAATATGTTATGCTACATAATGTTGTGTTTGATTATTTAAAATATTAGATTTATGGAAAAATTTCATCAACACCCCCTCTAGTTAGGCATAAATTCAAAGACACCCTTTTCCCATTTTGAATTTTCACTGCACTCCCTTCTAGTTTACACTGTTAAATAAAAGACACCCCTTACCATAGCCTGCCATTACTGACAATCAGAAAAGTATTGATGTCATACCAAATCTTTTATTAAATGCCAATTTTACCCTTCTTATTCCACATGAAACCCTTGTCCCTCTCTCTCTCTCACACACATGCCTCAACAACTCAATCACCTAACTGCAACAACGTGGCAATGAATCCAAGCCACTGATCCTAGCATTAACCGGTAAAGAATAATATAAAAAATTTAGTGCTAAGAATGGGCGACACCGTATAAAAAAAATAATAATAAAATCGGTTACACCGTATGCTTTAACATAATATAAGGACAAAATTTAAAATAATTTTTAAAAAAAAATTAAAAAAAATTGGTAACATCGTACGCTTAAAACATAATAGAAGAAAAAAATTCAAAATACTTTTTTTTTGTTTAAAAAAAAAAACCGTAACACCTTACGCTTAAACATAATATAAAGAAAAAATTTAAAATAATTTTTTTAAAAAAGTTTTTTTAAAAAAAAATCAGTGACATCGTACAGTTAAACATAATATAAGAAAAAAATTTAAAATAATTTTAAAAAAAAATGGTGACACCATACGCTTAAACATAATGTAAGGAAAAAATTCAAAATAATTTTCAAAAAAAAAAATCAGTAATACTGTACGCTTAAACATAATACAAAGAAAAAATTTAAAATAATTTTTTTAGAATTTTTTTTTTAAAAAAATGGTGACACCGTGCGTTTAAACATAATATAAGGAAAAAATTCAAAATAATTTTAAAAAAAAAAAACGGTGACACTGTACACTTAAACATAATACAATGAAAAAATTTGAAATAATTTTTTTAAAAAAACTGTGACACCATATACTTTAACATAATATAAGGAAAAAAATTCAAAATTATTTTTTTCTAAAAAAATTTTAAAAATAGATGACCCGGTACACTTAAACTATATAATATTTATACATAGTTTAATTCTTTATAAAATTCATGGGTAAAATGGTAAAACGTCTATTTCTGTCACGTCTGTTAGCCGACCAACACTGACAAGGGAGGTCAGTGAAATTTTAGAAAAGGCAAGAGGTGTCATTGAAAATATACCTATTTATAAGGTGGGTGTTGATGGAATTTTTCCTAGATTTATTTAAAATTTTAGATTATGTTGACTTGAACTTGGATTTAGCCTTGGATTTGGGTTTGAGTTTGGGCTTGGGCTTGAGCTTGAGCTTGAGCGGGTACGAAGGAAGCCGGGATTGGGGTGGGGATTAAAAATTTACCTGTGGACGGGAATTGAGATGAAAATTATAACCGTTAACAGAAATGAATCAAAAATGGACGAAATTTTTTTAAACGAATACAGAAATGAAGACTAGACCTCCCGCCCCGCTTCGATTCACCGACATCTCTACTCCCAATGGAGGTGGTTGGAACTTTCGTCATCAATGAGTCTTTGGTCCAATGATACTCCTTACCTTATAAAGATTTTGTATTCTTAAGGTCAAAGGTTCAAGCCCCTTCTCTCTCTCTCTCTCTCTCTCTCTCTCTCTCTCCCCCTTCTCCTCCCAAAAAAAAAGTTATAAAGAAAATATAAATATAATATTTTAAAAAAAAATAAAAAATAAAAAAAAGGTTGGAACTTCCGTCTGTTGCTGTGGTGCTCCACCTTTAAATGTACGGCAAATGTTTTGTTATGTGTACTGTTCAGGTATTATTGTAGTCCACGTCTATTATATATACTTAAATAACCCTACATTAAATCAACACGAAGAGCCTCCATCCAGACAAACACACAGGAGAGAGAGAGAGAGAGAGAGTTATGGATACCCAGGAAACCAGTTTCAGTGTTCTTATGCTTCCATGGTTGGCTTATGGTCACATCTCTCCCTTCCTAGAGTTAGCCAAACAACTCGCAAAGAGAAACGTCCATGTATACCTGTGTTCTACACCTATCAATCTCAGTTCTATCAAGGAAAGACTTGTTCAGTTGGAGGATCAATCTCTCTCAATAGAAATTGTGGAACTCCATCTACCCTCCTCTCCTGAACTTCCTCCTCATTACCACACAACCAATGGTCTTCCAATCCACCTCCAACCCACCCTAAGAAAAGCCTTTGAAATGGCAAGCCCGAGCCTGTCCAACATCCTCAAGACACTAAACCCCGACTTGTTTATAAACGATGTCGTCTATCAATGGCCTTCAGCAGTAGCTTTATCGCAAAATATTCCGGTTATTAAATTTCAGATTTCCAGTGCAGTCATGGTTTCCTATTTCAGTCATTTACTGAAGACTCCGGATGTTGAATACCCTTTCCCCACCCTTTATCTTCGTGATTTCGAGTTAGCTAAGATACGTCATGCGCTTGAAGCTTCAACAAGCAATGGCCCAGGGAGTGATCACGAGCGAGAAGAAGAAGATAGTTCAATTATTTTGTTGATTAGAAGCTCTAACGAAATTGAAGGAAAATACTTCGATTATTCCTCCTCTATGATTAAGAGGAAGGTCATGCCTGTTGGCCCTCTCATTCAAGACCCTGTTAGCAAAGATGAAAATTTGGAGGTCATCGAATGGCTCGAGAAGAAGCATCACTGTTCAAGCGTGTTTGTGTCCTTTGGGAGTGAGTGTTTTCTGTCCAAGGAAGAGATGGAGGAAATAGCAAATGGGTTAGAGCTCAGCAATGTTAACTTCATTTGGGTTATTAGGTTTCCATTGGCAGATGAAACTATGGTTGAAGATGCACTGCCTAAAGGGTTCCTTGAGAGAGTGGGAGACAGAGGAATTGTAATAAAGGGCTGGGCCCCACAAGCGAAAATTCTAAGCCATTCAAGTATTGGTGGGTTTGTGAGTCATTGTGGATGGAGTTCAGTATTGGAAAGCATGGAGTTTGGCGTTCCAATCATAGCTATACCCATGCAGTTTGATCAGCCTTTGAATGCTAGGTTGATGGTTGAAGTTGGTGTAGGGATGGAGGTTTGGAGGGATGATAGTGGGAAGCTTCATAGAGAAGAGATAGCAAAAGTAATAAGGGAGGTGATAGTTGACAAAAGAGGAGAAGCTATGAGGAGAAAAGCAAAAGAATTGGGAGAGAAGATAAGATTGAAAGGAGACGAAGAGATGAATGGAGCTGTGGAGGCGATATCACAACTTTGTCAGAAGAGTAAGGCGCAGTAATGGTCATATCATCATATCTCCACGGTTGGTTTAGTGGTACAACTTCTATGTCCAAACAATGTTCTGTAGGGTTACGTTTTGTTGAATTTGCTTTCATTCTCTAATGTGCTCAATTGGATGACTGTAATCCTAGTGGAAAATAGTTATCTCATTTCTAATAAAGTGATACTTGGATTTCCATAATCATAATAATTTTTTATTTATTCTCTATTTATGATCTGTCTGATAGGAATGATAGAAATTTTAAAGGATATAAAGTTGAAAGGATGAAAAATTAAAAAGAATATATTTTCTCTCATTTATATTTGGTATAATAGATAAAAAATTGAAGGAATACATTTTCCTTTTTTGGTATTGGATAGAAAGAAAAAATATATATACTAAATTTACTATTATACGCTCACATCAAAGTGATGAATTTTTCTATAGTAATTAGGGTTGTGCAAAAAAACTCGTAAACCCGACCACCCGATCCGTAATTGACCCCTCCGAATGAAAATGGATAGTTAAAAATGCTTCCTGTTCGGTTTCAGCACGAGCTTCTTATTGACTTTTTTTTTGTCCTTTAACAAAATAAAAAAACAAAATGGAGAATTACACTGAGATTCCTGAGATTTGTCACTTGATCACTCAGATCTCTTCATATTAAATATTACACACAGACCTCTTAAAGTTTGATTAAAATATTTTTGATCTAAGTATAATATTTTAAACTTAAAGGGTCTAAATATTATATGACTACAAACTTTAAGGAGTCTAAGTATAATCTATTAATGGATATATATATAATGTACAAATCTTAGGGGGATTATATGTAATATTTTAAATGTCAAATAGTCTGAGTGATTAAATGACAAATATTAAGAGGTCTGAATGTAATTCTCCCAAAAACAAAAATATATAAACCCCCAATTCCCAAACCCTACCTCATCTCCTTCTTCAGTACAGCCCGCCGCTTCTCCTCAATCCTCAGCCTCTTCTCTCCCCCAAACGCTACTCCATTTTCTTCCCTCTATTTCTCTTTCTACTCTTGGATCAGACCACAAAGATAACAGTTGGATGCTTTAAGGAAACAAAATGGATGCCGACGAGGTAACAATCCAACACTCATTACCGCAATCTGACCACCCACATGCACCGCCCACAGTGGCGCCACCGCCACTCAACTACTGTTTTAACGGTTTTTTATTTGGATTTTTTTTTTAAATAATGATCGATTTTGATCTTCTTTTGGAAATTAATTTGTGCGCTGCAACAACCTCTACCACAACCTTTTCTTTGTTGTTCATGACGGTTTTGGGCATCAAGTTGTGCGCTGTAACAGAAAGAGAAGAAGGAAAGTTTTGTCTGCTACAAAGGGTAAAGTAATCGATTCTCAAAAATGTCATCTTCCCTCCACTTTTCAGTCCATTTTCCTCCCAAATATTTGGGGGGTGGGGGGAACTTTTGGCGACGGCAGGAATCCAGTTCTCCTCCATTGTCCATTCCCTCCCACTTTTCTTTCTCTATTTTTCATCCTCCCTATTTTCACTCATACTAAACAAGGGGTTAAATTCTTTCTTTAAAGAAAATAAGCTCACCTCTGTAAAACCCAAGGACCCAACGACTCCCTTTCTTTTATTCGCTCAATTAAGCCTTGCATTTCATCATCTTATTGAATTTCCTCTTGAATTGGATCCACCTAACGAGGAATAGACATGGAGAAAGATTGTAGTTCACCCTCAATTGGCACTATTTTTAGGGCTTTGAAAAATTCCTTCTTTTTACCCCCAAAATACTCTCTTTGGAGCTAGGGCTTCACTCTACAAATCATCAAGGTAGATTGAGGAAATGAGAGATGGAGGCAAGCGAAAGATGACAAAGGAGGGTTCCATGCACGGCTCTACGCGAGAAAACAGAGCAATGAAGAGGAGAGGCAAGGGCCCAGGTGACCTCTTGATGACGTTAGTGCCTGGGGGTGCCTTCATCTCAGCAAGGGGTATGGGAGTGCTAGGCGTAGGCGGTGACGCCGTAGTTAGCAACGCCAGCGGTAGTAGAGGCGACGCCAAAGGAGCAAGTGGTGACGCCTACGGCGCGAGTGGTGATGATGAAGACACAAGTGGGTGACGCTTAGGCCTGGGCAATGCAGATAGTTACATGAGCAAAGGCAGGACACTAGACAGAGGTAGGACACCAGGCGTCAGCAAAAGGGAGCTGGGCGACACCTTGGGCGCAGACGACAATGCCGAAGTGAGCACGGACGACGCCAACGGCGGGTTTGGTGGCTCTAGTGGTGTGGACGGTGCTAGCGATACGTTGGGTGCTGGTCCTCACGGCTGGTTTGGCGCTGGTCCTTGCGACATGCTAGGTGAAGGAGCAAGAGGTCCAGGTGTTGAGAAAACAAATATAGGCATTGAGGCACTATTTGGGAGAGTGGTTGGTGGAGGTAACAAATCGGACTGTAGAGGGAAACAAGATAACACCTTTCAACTAGTTAACTTAATCTCATTCATAACCCTTGTTAATCTCGATTCCCCTTCACTTTTTATTGGCTTCTGTTTTTTCAAGTGCCTGAGCTGGTAAGGGCAGTATGACAGATAGTACACAGGCTTCGCACGAAGGCAAAGGAGTTGCTGAAGGCGATGGGTCGAAGGTATCCTCTATTTTTAGTTCAATTGACTGTGACGATGATATCGCTTGCATTGTTTCTTCGTTCCATATCCGTCATGTTATTGTGTGTCATCGGGCCATGATGGACGAGTTCGTGTGTTATGAATCCTCAAGAGAGATCGTCTTCTATGAAGATGTCTTGGAGGGCCAATTGAGATATTCTATACCTAGGCCTATTCGTCGAATTCTGGGTCACTTATCACTGGCTCTGGGTAGGTTGACTCCTTATGGTTGGAGGGTAATTCTGTCATTCTTCTCACTATGACGGCTAGTTCATGACGATGACGTTTCTCCCCTTTAGAGGAGTTCTTGGCCTCGTATGTGCTTATGGATAATCCTACTCCTCATCAAGGATGGTACTGCTTTGTCTCGAGATCGGGCAAGTTTATTACTAAACTGTCTTCGAATTGCCATAGTTGAAAATCTAGGTCCTTCTTTGTTGGAGGTGATTGGCTGCTGAGGAAGATCATGACTTAGTGCGTTCGACGTGGGACATTGCTCTGAGGACTAAGCTAGGTAAGGGTTTTACCTTTTCTTTTACGTTGACTGTCATGCCCATTGTATTCACTGCATGTTTGGCTCTTTTTGCTGATTCACCTACGTTATTTATGGAGTAAAAAAATAGGCTCAAGGGCATGCAGGATCATCCTATCAAGGAGTTTACGACCCTCATGTCCGTGGCGCGTCATCCTAGAGCCTCCCCTAGGCAGAAGAGGAAGGGTAATTGATCCTTCCAATAAACTTTGATGTTTATAATACTATAGATTCTTTGTTTTATACCAGTTTCATATGTCCCACTGTTGATAGAGCGATGGTGAAGGCTTTATATGCTTCTAGGATGACATATTCCCCTCCTCCCAAGCAGGCGAAGGTCGATGCCCACAATGTCTCATGGTGGTCCGATGGGCATGCTATATCTTAGGAGGTTGGATCAGAGGGTGCCCCCACTCTTTTTTAGCACACAACTCCTTTGAGTGTTGGGGTTAGTCTGGCTATTACTTCGAGGGTTAAGACTTCTGTGCGGCCGTCTGTCGAGTTTAGAGCTCCACGCAATCGTTCGACTTCTAGCAGTGGCTTAGTGTCCATGCTATGGGATATGAATCTGGCCAAGGAGCGATTTTGGAGGTTTGTGACCACTGCAGATATTAGAGAGGTTGGCTCTCGGGGTCTAGAAGGCATCATTGATACTGCGATGGAGGGCTTTGCTATGATAATCCTTTCTCCTTTTTAATTTTGATTTTTGCATTTCTCTTTTTTTCATGCTATGCCTTTTGGATACCTGCAGATGGATGCTACTTTTTCCATGCCTCTTTTCAAGCTCAATCAAATTGGATGAGGCATCAAGGGTTTTGGCAACAAAAAGGCATGCACGAGAAGCTGCTGAGGAGTAGTTGAGGCTAGCTTATGAGATAGTTGTACCTCTTGAGGCAGAGCTTTTGGTGTCCCACGAGAGGGCTACCCAGCTGGAGGCTGACAAAGAGGCTTTTTGCACGAGAGTAGAGACAAAGCTGCAGACATCCCACAATAGGGCCACTGGAGCTGAGGTCGAGCTACGGACTGCTCGAGAAAAGGCTGTCATGGTAGAGATTGACTGTGAATAGCTCATGAGAGAGCCACCAAGGCAGAGGCTCACTCCATTGAGATGGAGTGGAGGATGGAGGCTGTTGAGAGGGCCATTATAGGCATTTTTATTGATAGTTATGAGGAATTTAGGGAAAAGACTTCAATAGCCTTCCCTGCCATTGACCTTTTTGGTGTCGTCCCTTATGAGGCATCAGGGACTGATGGTGATGGAGAGAGCTTTGATGAGAGTGGCTCGGAGAATAGTGAGTGATGTCAGGAGTATGACAACTTTTATCTTTTTGTTGCTAGCTCATGTTCTAACTTTTGTAAATAACTTGCAAACTTCTATGGAATGAGAGATAGTTTTAGACAAAATAATTCTTGCAAAGTTTTATTTCATGACTTGAAGTAATAGATAACAAAAAGAACTGATTGAAACAACAAAAAGAAGATAGTCACTGGCTTGTACCCCACTGACTTGTACCCCCACTGACTTGTGCCCCACAATTGATAATACCTATTTTGGTGTTCCACGTTCTAGGGATGGGCCAGCACTTGAGTTCTGAATTTTGTGGGTGTTTGGTCTTGTAACTTTTGTCACCATGTAGGGTTCTTCCCAATTAGAGTCTAACTTCCCTTCTCGAAAGTCATTGGTATATAGGATTACTTTTTTGAGGACCAAGTTCCCAAGCAAAAAAGAGCGGGACTTCACCCTCGAGTTGTAGTCCTTGATCAAACGACACTTGTACTTTGCATTTTTGAGCATGGTCATTTCTCTCTCCTCCTCTATCAGGTCGAGGTTGATGTGGAGGCTTTTTTCGTTAGTGGTAAGGTCATGATTTTGGACCCTAAGGAATTGTACCCCAATTTTGACTAGTATGACCGCCTCTGTCCCATAGGCTAAGGAGATTGGGGTCTCACTCGTAGAGCTTCTTGGAGTTATCCGATAAACCCATAGTACTCCTGGGAGCTTGTCCACCCATTGTTTCTTGGCGCTTTTCAATCTGGTCTTCAGGTTGTGGAGGATTGTTCCAATGGTGACCTCCGCTTGCCCGTTTCTCTCATGTATCTCAAATTGCTTAACATTATCTTTTATTATTGCATAAAGCACTCCAAAGTGGTATACTATGCTCTTCCAAATAAAGTCCTTCACTTTTGGGTCCGTTATTCTAGTTAAGAACTCAACTTCTGCCCACTATGTGAAATAGTCAATGTCTATCACTACAAATTTGCATTCCCCGACTCATGGGTAGGTGACCTAAGATATCGATCCCCCACGTGGAGAAGGGTCATGGGCTCAGGATGGTGGTGAGCTTTTCTGGTGGTTGTCTTGGCACTATTGTAAAGCATTGACATTTGTTGCACTTCCTTACGAACTCACGAGTGTCTTTGATCATGCTAGGCCAATAGTAGCCTTGTCTCACTGCCTTGTGAGCTAGTGCATGCCCTCCTGAGTGATTTTCACATATTTTCTTGTGAATTTTTCACATGGCATAATCGATTTCATTAGGGGAGAGGCACCAGAATAGGGGCAGTGAGTAATTTTTCTTATAAAGGGTGTCATGCAGGATGACATACCTAGATGCTCTTATTCTCAAATTTTGACTTCTACTAGATTCTCTAGGAGAGTATCTTTCTTTAGGTAGGCTCAGATAAATGTCATCCAATTGGTCTCGGAGGATGCATAGTTAACATCGTCCTCCTCTGCCTTGAGCGTGTTTGGCTCAAACTGGTGGTATGTCAGTGCGGGGCCCATTAGTATGTTTACAGATGCGAACTTGGTGAGTGCATCTGTCATGGTATTCTCCTCCCCTAAGCACATGGTGGATTTAGAAATGGTTAAACTTTTTCAACAAATTTTGGACCACTGACAGGTATTCTTGCATCTTTTCTTCTTTCATTTCAAAGTATCTTTTTACCTAGTTGACTATCATCTAGGAATCACTATAAGCCGTTAGGCAGACGGCTTCCATCTCAATTGCGAGCTTCAAGCTTGATATGAGGGTCTGATATTCTACTTGGTTGTTTGATGTTGCGAAATAAAGGAAGACAAAGTCCTTAAGTGGAGTGTCATGAGGACTGATCAGTACTAACCTTCACCGCCGCCCTCGCTAATGGAGGATCCATTACGTACAATCTTCAGCATCATACCATGCCAGTGGGGGGGGTCTTGCTAGGCATAGCAGGGCACTCAGGTAGGAGTGCGTCAAGGTGGGGT